CACATTTAACTGTTTTCCACTCCAACACAATACACTAAGCTGTCTAGAGGGACTGAGGGAATCCAGATTTTAACGTCAAAAAAAAAAAAAGCTGACTGCCATTGTATTAAGGCAAACCTAGCAGCATTAAGAAGATCTACTCCCACAGTGATTCATCTGAAGCTTGGGCCTTGCAACCTCCCAAATTTAGACTTAATATGCTAGAACCTCAGGCACTCCTCTTTTGAGAAAGATAATCAGAACTAGATACAATTGTAGCTTAACACAACCAGCCTGAGGACTCCTGAATCAGGCATGCCTCTCTCTGGGTAAATAACTAAGAACAGGCTCAAATAACCAAGACATGAATCTACCAATAAAAACACCCATATGCTGAAAAAGCAAGCAATTACCACCCTAATGTGTTTAACCTACTAATTAGCAGCAATAGCACCAATCTGGAAAAAAGCTGGAAACGCTGTCTTCATAGAGGAGAGCTCCTATCTGCAGAGCCCCTTTTCTCTTCTAGCTGAAGGGAGCCTCTCAGCAAGTCCTCCTCAGCCCTTGCAGCACACCCTTGACAGAACAAACAGAAACTGCTAAAAAAAAGTGAACCCTAAACCTTTGGATTCGTTTTCCTCAGTGACTCTGAAGTTATGAGGCAGCCAAAACAGTGACACCCAGCAAATATCAACTAAAAAAACAAGCCAATGAGATGGAAATACTCTGTGAGGAGATTTTTGTTTCTGATGGACTAGTCGGTCCTTGAAAATGGCCAAAAACCAATCTTGAAGCCAATGGTTAACCCATAACCAGTGCAAAGCCTTGGGCAATGTCACTAAATCTCTGACACTCGGTTTCCACATCGGACAAAGAGAGGGTAATTACCACTACCTCTGTCACAGAGTGGTGGTGACATTAGAGGAGGTCCTATATGGGTCCTCTGGAAATTTAAATTACTGTTACTTGGTTGGGAAATAACCTTGTTTTCAAAATGTCTTTCAAGGATAAGCTGACTGAAGCCTGCCATGTCTTTTTTTCTACAACAACACAGCACCTGTACATGAAACAGACTTTAAGAATAAGATCAATAAAATACAGGCCCCCCTCACCCCAAAAGGAACAAAAGCCCAACCGGCAATTAAAACTACTTCTGATGAGCAGCTGTTGTGCTTCACTGTAAGGTGTTCTAGAAACAAGGATGGCTCTGTGTCACCAGTGAAAAGTGATATTGTTTATGTACCAGGAGGATTCTCACAAAACCTCCACGTTAAGCTTCCCACCTCCTTCGTCTTAGGCAACAAGTGTGGTCCATGTCTCTCTCCTCTCCTCTTCCTGAAAGTCAGGCCCACTGTATCCTTCCCACTTTTCATGTAGTTAGGAAGGTTAAGTGTTTAACACGCCTTATGAAACCCCACCGTCAAAAACATTGTGGTATCACTTTCTAAACTGGAAATACATGTTCTCCAAATACAGTTTGAGTCTCACAGAATCTTAGAAGCTAGACAAGAATTTAGAGGGTGTTTTGCCCAGCTGAGCCAATGAACGGGGATAAAGGCATTCCCACGATGTATACTCGGTGCCATGGAATAAATCTGACTCGATTCCTGGGAAGGCCAATTTTAAACAAATATTTTTGAGTATAAATTTGACCACCAAACAAAGCATTTGTACACGCCAGTACGTGCTGGGGACACTTCAGATTTTTCTGCTCTCAAGTTAGAGAATCAATGTTTGACAAGATGCAGAAATTTCATCTACGCGATAAGGATATGATAATTATCATGGTGGCTACTATTTGTTGAGCTCTGACTTATGCTAGACATTGTGCTTAGAGCTTTACATACTCATGTAGTCCTCGTAACACCATCAGACAATAGTAAAAGGTAACTGTTTCCATTACACAGTGGAGGAAATCAAGATTTTAAAAAAGTGAGAAAACTTTCCCTTGTTCACCCAGCTAGTGAATAACAGAGTTGGTATGTGGTCCCAGGACTGTCTGGGCTTCGAAGTCGGTGACCTTAATTGCTGCCTCAGAAATATGAAACTGAGGCACAGGAACCCTAATAAGTCTAGAACTGGAAGATCCTTAATTAAGTCACATATCTTTCTGTCCCAAGTTTTCCCAGCTATAAAATTAGAGCAATATGTATCCCTTTGTTCATCATAATGAGGATCTGAAAGCTCATGGGATACCTATGCTCAGAGCATCCTATTTTAGAGCTGAAAAGAACCTTGGTCACACAAACACTTGCAGATGAATGCTTACAGCAGCCTTATTCATAATACCCAATTGTCCATCAACTAATGAATCAATAAACCAAATGTGTTATAGCCATACAATGGAATACTCTTCAGCCATAAAAATGAATATATGCTACAGTGTGGATGAACCTGGAAAACATCATGCTAAGAGAAAGAAGCCAGCCACAAAAGGTTATGGATGTGTGGTTCTATTTACATGAAACGTCTAGAAAAGACAAATCCATAGAGACAGAGAGCAGATCAGTGGTTGCCAAGGGTCATGGCGGGGGTAGCGGGGCAGGAGGAATGGGGAGTGACTGGGTGTAGGCTTTCTTTTTGGGGCGTGTGAAATGTTCTGTAATGAGTGGTGATGGTCACACAACTCTGTGAATATACTAAAACCCACTAAATCGTACACTTTTAAAATGGGAATGCTATGGCATATGAATTCTATCTCAACAGAGCAGTTATTTAAAAACAAAACCAAAAAAACTTTGAGCCCACAGAAGCAAAGGGAATACATTTAAAAATACTTTGGACAAAAGTGTCACAGAAATATCACACTACATTTTAGATGTTATACATTTCATGCTTATAAAGACACACTGTAGGGAAAGCATGGTCTGCTGCTGCTCCTGCTGGTTACAGGAGAATCTTCATTCACTTCAAAGTACTCAGCTCCTCTAATTTCTGAATACCTAGTCAATAAAATGATAATAAAATGCAATCTAAACTGACTGCTGATGGAAACCCAAGGGACTTGTCCTGCTTAAAAAGAGAAAGGGAAAAAAAGCCACAAAACTCATCAAGGGCCTACACTCAAGGCCAGAGAAGATAACGGGAATCTAGATCTAGTGGAAATGTTACCTTCCTATGTTCTCTTAGAAAGAGCTTATCAGAACCTTCTACAGAGAAATCAGGCAGAGGAACTTCAACTATAAAGATGCCGTCTCAGTGAAATGGCCATCAAACCTGAAGCAAATTGTAAACTCCATGTACTGCTTAACATAAACACATTACCTCACTTCCATTTCAGCAGTACTTGCACGAGGTATTTTTTTTACCCCCATTTTAAAGATAAGAAAGAGGAAGCACACACAAGGTCACCCAGTTGATGAGAAGCAGAGTCAAGATTCAACAAGCGTCCAGATTCCAAGCTCAGTGCGCTTCTGCTGTGTCATGCAAATATTTGCTTTCTCTACGCGTCTCTCTCAGAAAGGAGAGCCGAGTTGGCTTCAGCTCATGTTATTTTGTGACATGAACTTAGCTCCCGAGAAATAACTTCCCCTTATGTTGTTCTGGTGTGTTATATTTCTTTCATAAGTCTCCATAAGAAACACCTGTTCAGAGCAAGTATTAAATGTTTTTGAATAAATACATCAATCTGGCCAGGCCTATATCTGGTTAGCTTAATCTTTCATGAATAATGAATGAGGACTCAAAAAACCTACGAAATCTTACAAGGCTAGAGATTCCCTTCCCAGTTACTGAAACAGATTCTAGAACCGAGTCAGAAGGCCACTGAGCTGGCCCTGTAAATGACTTCTTGAAAAACTCCAACTCTTCCTTTGCAGCCAATCAAATGGTGATTTGATTCCCTAGAGGAGAAACCTGCAGGCAAGATCTTTAGCTCCACCAACCACCTGAATTCTCACCTTCACATATATTCTCATAGCTCCTGCAACTAGCTATTTTCCAAGTTACCAGGCCTCTCTCTTTCTCTCTCTCCCTCTCCCATCTGCCCCAGCCTACCCGCCGCCCCCCACCCCGGCCCCGTTCCATTCTCTCCTTCTGTCTCTCCTTTACCCTTCCTTGTGACCCATGAAGGTCTCAAGTCCCCATAGGAAGCAACTATGACACAAACTAGTGAAATAACTTCATATGCTGCTCTAGCTAAGCCTCTCCCAGAGACCCAAGCACCAAACACCAAACATGCGGACAAGGGCTGTGCTTTGATGAGAACGTTCGTCCTTAGAGATGAGATCAGGGTACAAGTTCTATTTTCCTCTGGTAACTGAAATTGTTTTATTTTCAACACATAAGAAGAATTGAGGTATGGTAATAAATCCAACTCTAAATTTTCAAAAGTAGGTGGATTTAGACACCAGGGCATTAACAACATTCTTGCATTTGTTAAATGGTATGTTCTGTATTTAAATTAGATTTCCACCTATTCATTCCTCAGACTCCTTTGCAATGATTACAGTCTTGACTTGGTTAGTTAATACTTCCATGATACCACCCTATAAAGGCACAAAGAAGAACTTTTACCTAACGTGGAAATAAAGAGGATACATTTTAAATACAGACAAATATATCCTCCTTTTTATGTTTAGACAATATGAAAGAATATATATTCACAAATGTAGCATCAGTGAAAACCATTTGCTCTAGACATTTTCTCTAAGCTTTTCAGTTTAAAGATGGCACCATTTAACATTTGAACTAAATGCATTAACATAATTTTACCAGTGACAGACTTTCTCTAGGTAAAAGAATCAACGACTTTTAGAGCTGTAAAGAACGTCAGAAACCATTAAGCAAACTCTTTCATTTTAAAAATGAGGAAACTCCCAAGTTAACTGATTGCCAGCCGTCTCCTGACACCTAGTTCACCACAACTGAAATTCTTATAGGTGACAAACCCTTTTTTGTTGATACCAATACCAAAGACAACAAAAATCAGAACTACTCTTACCAGATACACGACTGACATTACGCCAAAGCTGTTTCAACTTTCAGTATTTTATACCATAAAATCTTAACTTGTGACTCACCCTGCTGAGCTGATCCAATAACCTTTGGTTCTGTTCTGATAATTCCTGGACGGCCCGTGTCTTTTCTCGATCTGCTTCCCGTAAATGAACCTGCTGCCTCTCCAGCTCATCCTGAAGCTGTTTCACGTCACTCTCCAGCTCGGACACGCGCCCTTCCCACTCCCCTTCTCGGTTCTCAAATCGTCTTCTTAGTTCATGTTTCTCTTGTTCTAAGTGCTGGGTGAAAAGTGAAGAGGATTTTAAAAACTGTTAAAAAATCCTGAGACTTTCTATTTTTTTCTTTTCACACTCTCTTTTAACTTTTCTTTTTCCCAGTCAGCACAGGAAACCACTGCCACATTGGCAGGTAGGTTCACAGCTGCAAAAATATTCCCTTCTTCCAGAGTAGGGAAGAGAGCCATTCTACGAAAATACTTAATGTTATTACGTTTGTTCTTGTCCTTGGTCATGGGGATTCTAGACTTAGGAATTCACGTGAAATTTAGTAAGTCATCTAATTAATTGGTGAAATATACAGTTAAACAACTTCAAGTGAGTCTTTTAAAAAGCTTCTTTTGCTATCATCTGTTATGCCTCACATAATACAATTTTCAGAGACAGAAAGAACTCCAGAGATCCTTCAGATCAACCACTTTTTCTTACAAATGAGGCGACCAAAGATAAAGAGGTTCAGTAACAAGCTCAAGGTCTACAGGAGCAAGTGGGCTGGGATTTGGGTCTCATTTGACTGTTTAATGCTCTAAATCACAACTCAATAAATATTTGTTGCTATATATAGCACTGTATTTCAAAATCATTAACGCAAGTTCAGGTTCAGGCCTACTTTTATTAAATCATAGCCTACTAGCCTTGCATAATTATCTCTGATCCCTTCATTCCTTCTTGAGCACCTGTTATGGGCCAGCCACTGTCCTGGATCATGGTGATGAGCAGAACAGACATGCTCTTTGCCTTTACAGAATTTCCATTCTAGTGGGAGAGGCTGATAAAAGAAATAAGTTGTACAGTGTGACAAATGGTATGCAGGAAAAGTACAGATGGTCTGAAGTAGCAGCTCAACAGAAAAGAATTCTTTTGGATTGAAGGAAGTAAGAACATCTTTTTGTTTCTGTGAGATAAATACGAATGTCTCTTTTCAGAGACAAGTATGTTCTCCTGCTTTAAAAGCATAGTATGGTAGGGAGAGGTTATAGCTTAAGTGGTAGAGTGCATGCTTAGCATGCACAAGGTCCTGGGTTCAATCCCCAGTACCTCCCCCTAGGTAAATAGATAAATAATTACCTCCCTCCCCCAGCCAAAATAAATAAATACTATAAAAATAAATAAATAAAAGCATAGTATGTACAAAAAAGCCAAGCCTATACCTCAGGGAGTATATGATATGTGTATGAAATGTAAAGCAATTGCTGAAAAATATATCCACCTGAACACCAATTTCAAAGACTGATTCAGTTAAGAACGGGATGAGGCCTCGGCATGCATCCATCTATCTATTTATCAATCTATCGATCTATTGATTTATGAACCTAGGTTCTACAGGAAATTCTGACGCACTGAAGATTGATATCAAGCAATGAGGTTGTTTCAGCCAGCTACGATGAGCATTTGAATCTTCTCCTTCAGAGCACTCAGACATCCCTTCACCTTGGGAATCTATGCTCTTATTCTATCCAAGTTCTCACCTTTCAAATGTTTTCTGGAATGTCTCTTCTGGAAAGCCTTAAGGGCCAGTGTATAGTTACACAAGAAAATCAGTTCATTACTTCACATCTAAAAAGAGATGATCCCATTTCATCCTGCCATTTTATCCCTCCAATTTGCTCTAAGTGACTTGTGAATGTTTCTGAAAGTCTAATATGCCCCAAAAGATGAAAATTTGCCATGACACAGCAGTCAGAATAAAGTGTCAAACAGTGATCCAAAATTAAAATTCTGACCACATTAGCAAAGGCATTTTCACTGAAATAAATATATGGCCTCCAATGTTGACCACTTTAAAGGGAGTAACCCATTTGGATATAGTCATGCTGGTATATTTGTTGAAAAAGTCACATTACAGTTATACTTTATATGGCCTGACTTTGGAGCACATGGGAAAAGACGAGAGACCTGCAGTCCTCAGCATGAGAATTTTCTGCTCTATGCTTCCCTCATTTTGCTAAACTTCCAAAAATGAGAATGTTTTAATCACTGTAGAAACTTCCGAAAGATTAAATGCAGAAGCAAATGCTAATTGCAATCCTAAAATTGTGATACTTGGTTTTATTGAGTATTTCCAAAATGGAAAAGACTGAGCAGAAGGCAACAGCAAGAACTCAGTAATCAGTGTTACTGAGAGGCCAGATAAATTAGGCTTGTGCTCTAAAAGAACAGAGAGACTTAAAAATATTCAGCAAACAGCTGTTAGTGAACAGCCCAACCAAGCAACTAAAACAATCCAATCCACTTGCCGGGGGATGGGGCAGGGCGAGGACAGGTGGTGCTGATCAGTCTACTCTGTCCTTAGATTTCTTTGGACATGAGACAAACTTCCTAATTCAGGTGTCCCAACACTTTGAAAAAAAAAATCAAGACTTTCCTATTAATGATTTTAGCCTTTTGTCTACTCTGAGAAAAGAAAGCTTTCTTCTACTATTATATATATATCAATTAAGTGTTAAATTTACCAGTAAACTCTAGCCAGAATACCAGCAAGTGTGAAGATCAGGCTCTGCCCATGCTATTCCTTGTTTCTCAGCATTATATGGTATTTTAAAGCTAACATCTACACCTGAAACTAATTTAACGTTGTATGTCAATTACACATCAATTCAAAAAAGGAAAAAGTTAGTATCAAAACTGTCAAGGTCATCAAAAACAAAAGTCTAAAAAACTGTTACAGCAAAGAGGAGACTAAGAAAATACAGAAACTAAACATACTGTGGTATCCTGGAACAGAAAAAGACATTAGGTAAAGGCTAAGGAAATTTGAATAAACTAAGGACATTAGTTAATAAAAACTTGCCAGTACTGGCTCACTAATCATGGCAAGTATACCATGCTAATGAAGATGTTAATAATAGAGAAACTAGGCTCACAGCGAAAAAAAAAGTGACAATGAATACATGTGTGTCCATGTATAACTGAAAAATTATGCTCTACACTGGAATTTGACACAACACTGTAAAATGACTATAACTCAATAAAAAATGCTATAAAAAATAACAGAGAAACTGGGAGCAGGGCATACGGAAACTGTACCATCACTCCAGTTTTTCTGTAAATCTAAAACCATCCTAAAAAAAAAAGTTTAAACTCTGAAAAAACAAAAGTTAGTATCATTAGCCCACCCAAAACTGGTTGTTACAGAAATAGCTTTCTGCAAAGAACCAAAAAAGCAATACGATTCTCATAAGTCCAGGATATGATTCTTGAAAAATAGTATGTCTTAATCATTTCAATCAGTTTTATTAAAATTGATATAACAATTAAAGGCAATTTATTGGTTTAGATAGACTGAAGGAGGTATATTTCATTGTACTGGTGTACTGTACAAACGTACCCATGTATTTTACATTCATATTTTATTGTATTTTTAAAATTTTAATCGAAGTACAGTTGATTTACAATGTGGTATTAGTTTCAGGCATTCAACAAGGTGATTCAAATATATTCTTTTTCAGATTCTTTTCCATTATAGGTTATTACAAGATATTGAATATAGTTTCCTGTGCTATACAGTAGGTCCTTGTTATTTGTCTGTTTGACATACAACAGTGTATATGTTAATCCCAAGCTCCTAATTTATCCCTCCCTGCTAGAAAAAAATACTATCTTTTAAGTGGACCAAGCACTGAATGCAAATAAGGACTCCTGTGTTTGCTTAGCTAAATCTATTACCCCATTATGTAATCATTTTCACCTTAGTTGTTTTGCCTCTTGAATAATAGCACTCAAATCATGAGAATTGGCCTAGGGAAGGGGGAAGAAAATGTAACTGATGGAAAAGACTATTTCTGCAGTAAGAGAAATTTCACTCTCAGCTGGAAGAGGGGATAAAAGGGATCCTGGACATTAAAAACATATTTTTAAAAAACTAAATATTTAAAGGCAGGGAGGATATAGCTCAAGCGGTAGAGTGCATGCTTAGCACTTAAAAATGACTTGTTGGTCCTGAAGTTAGAAACGTGCCAATTTTGAAGTCCTAAAGAAGCAGATGGGACTAAAACAAAACCAGTCTCGTTATTTAGTCGTCAAACCAACATTCTCTCATGTGTTTATCTTTCAAACTAACCCATGAAAAAATGCGTTTGATTCCACTGACAGTTTGTAGAAAATTACAAATTCTTTTTCTAAAATTGAAGTATAGTTGATTTGCAATGTTGTGTTAGTTTCTGGTCTACAGCACAGTGATTCAGTTATACATATATGTATGTATTCTTTTTATTATAGGTTATTACAAGTTATTAGATATAGTTTCCTGTGCTATACAGTAGGAGCTTGTTGTTTATCTTACAAATACTTTTTAAAGTAAGGACTGAAAATATTGAATTTAAGTGAAATCCTAAATGTTGAATTTAATTGATAATCTAGCAGAGCGGCTGTGTTAAACTTTAGACATTCTAAACTTTAGGCTGTCTGTCCAAACAGACATTCTAAACTCTAGGCTGCTTAAAAAATATACTTGTAGGTATAATTTGCAAGGGAAAATTCACTTGTAGATATCAAATGAAATAGTCCTGTTAATCAGATTTGTCACTCTCATATTAACTAACAGAATTAACAAAGAACTAATGATAATACGAACCTTTATAAGATATTTTTAAATGTACTTTTCTTAAAAACTAAAAATTTTTAATAATTTTTAGACATACCTAAAAAAAAGTATAACTGAACCCCCATCACTCATTAATACTGATTAATGATCAGTATTTTGCTCTTTTTAAATGTAATTTTAAAAATTACGGTAAAGTATACCTAACATAAAATTTACCATCTTAACCATTTTTAAGTATACTGTTGGTTCAGGAGTGTTAAGTACATTCACATTGTTGTGCAAAACCTCCAGAAATTAAAAATAAAATTTTAACGCTAGAGTTCATATGCTGACCTAAGAGCTGTGAAGTTTTTAGAAATAGTTTAATAAGAATTTTAAACTATTTTATTATTGTCTATCAAGTCAATAGCAAAAGAGCCAAATGTAATTTATTCGTTTACAACAGAACCTTTTGTATTATAGAATTTGGAAATCTTTCTCCTTTGTTGAAGACATGTATAAAGGTTCCAAATGAAACCCAGGATGTGTGTAACTGCACACTTAGGAGTACCCTAAAATCTATCACTAATCAAACTGACTGATGTTCCTTTCAAGCTGGCTGTCTCTTTCATCAAGTCCCTCACTTGGAGGAATTTCAAATCTCAAGCATAAATCTCTGCAGTAGTACTTCTGTATAGAGTCTGTAATCGAATCTCTTTAAAGAAAAAATAAATGATACCCTTTTATTTCTAGACCTCTGCTTCAAATGAAAATTAAACAATTCCATTCATTGGGTTGCTTTTTGGCAGTCTACCTACAGGTTTCACAAACCACTTTTCAGAGAGGTATCTCAGGAGTTCATCGACTGGCAGACCTAGTTAACAGGCCAACTGAACTACAGGGCACTCACTGGTTTCCTTTTTTTCTCCCTGATTTACTTTTGATATGTCTGGATGACAGACACACTTCTTATAGAAAAGTTTCTTAATCTACATTCTGACTGTTTGACCAGTGGCAGTGATGTGGAACCAGAAGACTGGGGTCAATTTCAGACCTCATTCAGGACTGTACTGTTCTCTTGTAACTGAGACTAAAAAGAACTGGTGGCAGCCAAACTGGGTAACAGTAGTAAATGCACAAGCATAAAAGGATAAACTCATCTCCAATGCCACAGACACCCACTTACCCAACCCCCTTCTTTTTTTTTTTTGAAAATCTAATTTTTAGAAATGGTGGCAATCTATACCACTTTCAAGGCCCTTTTCTAGGGAAGGGCAAGAAAACAAATGTGCGCAAGCTGCAAAAGTCTGGTCCAGAGAATTGGCAGAAATCTTACAAATACTCTAAGCAGTATTTATAACAATAGTTAAAGTTATATGGTTCTCATAGGTTGCATCTAGCCATGCAACTGCATGTGTGAGACCCAGAACAGAAACAGAAAAGTACTGTTTAAATACATATAAACACTGAAGTCCAAATTAAATCCACAACCTATGGTCACATGCTGAGCCCAGGCTTGTCTGATTTCTGCAGTGGAACCATATTTCCTAATCCTTGAGTATTTGAAGGCTATATAAAGCTCCTTTAGGGGCACTTGTTTCCCACAACTCTGAGCTGCTGGGAAGTTAAGACAAGGGCATCTGGAGGCCTTAATGCCAAAGCTGGAAAGCTTTCGGCTAACACCCTGATTAGTGATTAACCACTTCTCTGAAAACCTGGAGCATATTTTAAATGCTTCCCGACTTTCTAATTTCCCTGTGTGCACATATCACTTCAGTGCTGTATAAATTAGTCATACTGTAAGCTCTATTTTAGATGCTGTGTACAGTACGTATATAGAACGGCCCACAGCGGTTGGAGCCGTGCGTGGACCCTCGTGCTGTGATGTGAGAAGGTTGGGAAAGTCAGGTGGGTCCAATGAATGCCCTGGTCTGATAATCCAAAACCCTCCATCCAACCACCCGCCTTGCAAGCGGTTTTCTGTGAGGTAGGGTGAGCAAGGATGGGGTGGGGCGGGGTAGGTGAGTTAGTGGTTCCCGAAGCTGCCCAGGGCCGGCTCGCGGGCGCCTGGGCTCCCTCTACCACCGCCCTGCTTCCCACCCACCCCAGGAGGGACGTCCTCACCTCCAGCTTATCTGTCAGCTCCTTGTGCATCTGCTCGTACTGCCGGCTCATGTCTTGGTTCCTCTCGAGCAACGCCTTGCCCAGTCGGGCCGCCAGCACCAGATCCTTCTCCTTCTGCCGGATCACCGACAGCAGCTCGGGATCCTGAGCGGGTGGCGGCTGCAGTTCGGCCCCTCGGCCGAAGGCCCGGGCTCGGCCTGAGGATGCTCCCCGGGGTCGGACGGCCGTTCCCCGGCCGCCAGCAGCGCCAGCTCCTCCTCTAACGCCAGTTCCAGCTCCCCGGGGCCCCCGGGGAAAGAGATGAGGGCGGCGGCGGCTGGACTCCCGACAGCGTCCGCGGCCGCGGCGGGCAGCTCCATGCAGCAGGCGCTGTCCGGCTCTGCGGGTGCTGAAGCGCGGCCGGCCA